CAGCCATAAATGAGCTCCCCAGTTTCAGTGAGTCATTTATTTTTGACAAACAAACAGGTAAGGTGGCTTCATCATTAATAATAACAAAGAATCCTATTTAAATGCCATTATCTTCTATTGAAACTGCTCATTAGAATGGCTTCCAAGATGCTGAGCTACGGAGATGTAAAAGGTTGGCACTGGTTTTCCAATTCATATATGACAACTAGGTGAATAAAGAATAAATTTACATACTCTATGGAACTATAAACATACTGCTGGAGATAGAAACTAAAGACCCAGATTAAAATTCTTGCTTACTCAAGAAGTTTATTGACTGACCTTGGGCTTTATTTTCTCTTGGTGAATTTTAACTCTAAAAATTGTTAGGACACAAACAATCTGATCTGGAATCAGTTTTTACAGAAGTCAGTACTGCTGATTTCTAGGAATGAGTAGATTTGCCCTATTCAGGTCTTTCCCTGAAATTTGATGCTGCTTTCCATTCTTCTTTAATTTTAGTTTAAGGATGAACCTTTCTATAATTCATTCTGAAACTGAGGTGTGCTACAGCCTTCACTTCATTTGTAGCCCCCTCCCACATTACAAACACACATTGATAACACATTGCAAAGAAGAAGAGATTGGATTTATACCCCACCTTTCACTTGGAGTCTCAGAGTGACTTACAACCTCCTTCCCCTCCTCTCCCCACAACAGACACCCTGTGAGATGGGGGGGGGGCGTTCTGAGAGCACTGTTCTTGAGAGAACAGCTCTGAGAGAACTTGTGACTGACCCAAGGTCGCCCAGCAGCTGCATCTGGAGGACTGGGGAATCAAATCCGGTTCTCCAGATGAGAGTCCTCCACTCTTAACCACTACATCAAATCCCAACAAGATCATACGTATAATTCCATCAAGATACCTTTTGTGCAGTGCTTTACTGATATGTACACGCACTTCTGCACAATGGTAAAACACAAGATTACTTTTTTGTAGCAATTCTTGTAACTTTTTAAATTTAAAGTAGTCTCTTCCCCTTTGCTGTGAAGACATAAGAGGAAAGGCATATCTTTGTAATTAAAGAAGCCAACCTGAATATTTGTTTAATGCCAATTTCAGCGCATAGATATGTTCATCAATGAGCCCCCTTAAGATAAGTAGATCTCAGACATTTAAGGCTTGAAAAAAATCCTGGAGAGAATTATGTCAAGACCTACCAACATCTCCCCATGACAGACAGTGGTGATGGCTCAAATGAATGCTGCCCAGCACCAAAGGGAATGCCCTCCTCATGTTCCCCTTCTTAAAATCAATGTGAGCAAAGACACAAGTTTGTATTTTATTCATTCTTATTTTACTTTTTCACATAAGCAGCCCTAACATTAGTGCTCTTTGCTGCCAGCAAGCAGCGTGGTAAAACTTAGGGTGAGTCCACTTGGCTCTGAACTTAGCAGCACTTCTACCACTCTCATACCTGCCATCTCAGGTAGAACTTGACCAGTCTATTCTAATCAGGTCTAATCAAATAAGCTTAAGCTCCCTGATACAGTACAAAGCAGGTGGGGAAAAAGGACTCTCTCACAGCTAATTAGAGACAGTCTCAAAAATCTCCTGCTCAGCCCTGGAACAGCCATAATTAAGTCCCATAATGACCTAATAGCAGCTAATACACAACGCATGTTAATATCCAAATAAATACATATCAAATATTATGATCTTTCACATTTGTTTCTTGTCTGTTAAAGGAAAGGTCTGACATTGTTTCAGTCCATATTTCAGTATGTGGCACAACCACTGCTTTCCACTTCTGAAGAATTAATTCTTTAGCTATTACCGAGGCCCATAAAACCTAGGGTTTTCAAGGCAAGAGACATTCAGAGATGCTTTGCCATAGCTTCCCTCTGCGTAGCAATCCTTAGTGGTATTCCTTAGTGGTCTTTCATCCAAATACTAACCAGCTCTGACCCTGCTTAGCTTCCAAGATCTGACAAGATAGGGCTAGCCTGGGCTATCCAAGTCAGGAAGAAATCTACTAGGTATCCAATAACTGCAGATAATAATGTTTTTATTCTGTATTAACTGTATTCTAAGATCTACAGGTTTGTTTAACATCATACAGTATTTCTTGCCGTATTGTTTTCTGAATTTGGATATTATTATTTACTTCATTTAAATCCCCCCTTCCTTACCAATGGAGACCCAAAGCAGCTTATATCATTCTCCTCTCCTTCATTTTAGCCTCACAACAATCTCTTACACTGAGAATGTGCCACTGACCCAAGGTCACCCAGCAAGCTTTCATGGCATTGTGGGAATTCAGGCTTTGGTCTCACAGATCCTGGTCTGACACTCCAACCACTACACCATGCTGGCACTCTGATATTGAGTTGCATAGTCCCATTTTGCCATAATTCATCAGTTATAGGTTTGACCATGTTTCAAACAGGCATATCAAAATGTGTGTATGACTCCCCCTTCAAGGGTTAATGTGAATGGTCACGAGCTTGTTTCATTCTGCAGGTGTCACTAATTGGTATCTCAGCCTATACAGCCCTTAGCATCTTCAAGGCCAGAGCTGGAAATTAGCTTCTCATGAGAACCTGCAGCCTGTAAGGTGGGAAGGGAAGAATCAGGGATGATGAGGTAACTTTCTAGAGGGTTCTAGCAAGAACGGGCCCCGATTGGGTGTTACCCTCACCTGATGCTGCTTGGCCAAAAAACTATATAACTGAAGTAAGAGCCCGGAAAAGAGAGGCTAGCTGGGAATTGTGATGGATTGAAGGCCTGGACTATGATATGCTTATACTGCAATGGACAGCAACATGGATGATGCATAAGCCGTGGTTGTTGACTCTTGGACTTAAGGTTTATGCCATCTAATGCAGGTCTTGAAAACATGTTAGATAGTTAAGCTAGTTTTCTTTGTTTTTTTACTGCATGATTTTAGAGCATTGTGTTGCCTGTGGATTAAATCTTTTATCTGAATAAAAACTCTATATGATTTATAAAAAATAAAGAAGGGTTTGGTTACTTGTGTACAACAGCCCTGGGGACCCACAGCGTTCAGTCTTGGACTCCTTGACAGTGTGTCTTTTGTTCATTAATTTATGGAGGTCAAAAAAGGTAATACATCATGAAGGCTTGACATTGCAAGTGCATCTGGACCAAACTGGGTATGAAGGCAATGGGTTAATTGAAGATCGTGCCAATTAATGAAGGTGGAAAGATCATATAAACACAAAAATCTTCATACATATGCACAATCCAGTGATGGACAGTGCCTTCCAGCAATGGCGGTACTACAAGCACAGCCGAACCCACTTATCAGGCCTCACCAAGTACAGCATATTCCAGATTCTGCTGCTTTGAAGAGAATATTACTGTAGCCTGTTTATGGGAATTAGAAATCACAAACCTCCACTGCAATTATCTGTCTTAAATTAGCTGAACAAATTACTTACTGGTACGATGCAGGCCTTGCTCTTGAAGGCAGAATGGAGAAGTTGGTATGAAAACAGTTTTACATAGTATCACAGGGACGTGACGGTATTTTAAGCCAACAGTATTTTACAGATCATGGCTGAGGCCAAAGATAGTAGCTTGTCAAAGCCATCTACTGATTTCATGGAATAAGAAGATTTTGACTGAAGAGTTCCCGGTTCACAGGCCATATTCTTATAAGGCAGTGTTACATGTTACAGTAATTGATACCAAAAACAAAGTTACACAGAATTTTTCTTTAGTGAATGTGTCATCTGTGAAAGTACTTTGTGTGTCGGAAAACTTTAACTTCTAGGAAATTTTTTCAATACCATTTTATGAGGCTCAGCCCTGGCTGTCAGCTTCCCCTAGCACTGAGTCCGCTTACTTGGCCCTGGGATGGGCTGAAAGTAACATTTAGGGAGGCCTAGTGGGGGATTTCACCATGACATGGGCAGGATCAGAGGCAGATGAGGTGGCTTCCTCTTATCATGAATCAGCTTGCCTGTTGAGGCACGAACAGAAAGGCTGGTGCCAGAGGTGGGCCAATGACCTCCTGGCCGGCATGCATGCATCAGGGAAGCCAGGCACCAAAGGCACTGACAGCCTGTCAAAGGGCAGGGTGGTTTCAGGGAAGAGAGCTGGGTGGATCTGTGACCCTCCTGAAGTGGGCAAAGTCATGGCTGTTGGGGCAAGGGGGAGAGAAGGAAGCATGGGAGAAGTGACAGGGGAGGGCTGAGGTAAATCCCAGCATGAAGGGAGTCAGAAGCACAATGGAAGGGCAAGAGGAAAGACATGCCCGAAGGAAACAGTCAAGAAGTGCCAAACTTCCATCTGGGTGGCAATGGATAAAGCACTGGGCTGAAGGCCCTTTGAGGTGGGGGTGCTAGTGGAGTGCTGTAACCATGGGCTCCCTCTTACTGTAACTGGGCTTGTGGCTCAATAAAAATTATTTCAGCAAAGCACTTCAGCATGTGACTACTTTGGGGACTAGGATTGCCAGGTTTTACCTCAATCCCAGTGGGGGACTCCAGCCTCACTCAGGGAACCTCCGCACCCATTGGAGGGGGGGGGTTGGCAAGCCTAGTGGGGACCAGGAAGGAGGGACAGTTTGAACAGCCCCGCATACTTCTACTCAGGCCTCCCAGAGATAAGGAAATGTGTTCTAATTATTGGTACAGAAGTAGAACAATTGCACATTAATTTGTACATTAATGTGCTACTGATGCAATAGGTACTAATTTGTATACACATTGTTTACATAAAATGTAAGCAAACAAAAGTAGATGAAATTATTTTTGATTTAGAAGGAAACTCCATACAAGCTTTACAATATACTACAAACCTATGTGGAAAATGTGGTGTTTTGTTTTTAATTTGTCATGGTAAACAAATACCAATTAAGCCAGTCACTTTGTATTAACACAACACCTATCTCAGTCACTGTGCATCAACCTATGATCATCTGTAATGGTGCTCATTAGAAAGCTACGTGCTAACTTTGCACTTGGATGGAACTTTTTTTTTTCCTCCTTACCGGCTGCTAAAGTTCGTCCCATTCCTGGTTCACTGGTGACACAACCAACTCGATTGCAGAGAGTAATTGTAAAATAATAAATCCTGTATGGTTCCAATCCTGTTGCTGTGTAGGAACGCTCATGAGCTTCAGCAATATACAAAACCTACAAAAGAAACAGAATCAACATTGATGCTATGACAGTACTTCTGTTACTCTCCACTAAATAAGAGGGTATGTTTAACAATAAGGAATATGCTTTGGGGTTTGCTGATTTCTTCCTTTGAAGGTCTGCCAAGAGCCATTAGTGGAAACAGCATTATCTTGAAGAACCTCAACAAGGTAGAATTTAAATTATAATATTTCAAATACATTATTTGAAGAGGTAATAATCCAGTTCCTAGGTGGAGAAATACGGAAGCAAAGTAATAAAAAATGTGTCATTAAAAAACCTCATAAAACTGTGTGATACTGGAGTTACTTATATAAACAGTACTGATTATACATGATCATGGTGTTAACTTTCTGTGATGCAATCAAAGCGTAACAGTTCTGATTACCATGAAAACACAATATCTGATTAACAGGATTCATAAACAGATATGCTGCCCTTTTTGCTACTACTACTAGTAGTAGTAGTGGTGGTGGTGGTGGTGAGCACTATTATCAGTGAGCACTGCACAGGAAAATAACCTTTTTTGTTAAAGTAATTTATCAAAGATTTAACATGAGAAAGCCTGAATAAAGTGTGGTATTCATGTAAAGTATTGTACTGTGCATACTATTCGATCTAAAAGCCTGATAATTCATTTTGGAAATAATGGTTTTTACATTTTTATTGCATTCTTCTTTGAAGGATCCCTAAGCAGTGTTTTAGTCTCATAACAACCCAGCAAGATAGGATAAACTAAGAGACAACACTATCAGTCTAGAGAGGTTTCTAACTATGTAGGGATTGAAATATCAGTTTTCCACTCAAACCTAACCCTCCAGCCTCTACATACTTTGGGACTAGTGGCCTGATTCTACTTGCCAATATGCATTTTAACTGTAGAGCATCAGATCAAGTCCTAACTTCTAAACACTGCCATAGACTGAGCATTGGTGCAGCATCTCATTATTTCTCCATCAATGGTCCCTGGGAGCAGATATCACTTCCTAGCAGCTTTCTAACATTTCCTATATGTGACTTTATGAAGCCTGAATCAAACATTATCAAAGCAACATGGCAGGAGCACCTTTCTATGCCCTCTACTCAGGCAGCTCCAGTAGTTTTCTGTGTCAGCGTGAACACAACTTGTTCTCATACTCACATACTCCCTGCCCTCTTCCCCTTGCACATGTAGTGAGAATGAAGGTGTCCTGGTTTCAGAAGCCTCAACTCTAGCTCCTTTTTGTTTGATATCTGAATGCAGGCATAAGGGCAAACTGTAATTTATTTCCTCCCACAAACTGGTATTCTAAACAGACATCATGTAAAATCATAATTCTTTTAAAAATGGTTAGTTTGTGAAACCATAGTTCACACCACAGGAAATCACTGAAACTATTTCCATCAGCAAATGCTGGTTTCATTGCCTTTTCTCTATAACCTGGGAGGGTGTCTCTGGAGAGGAAGCCAGGAAATCCACATTCAAACATCACACAAAACCAAACTTAGTGCTAACCATAGTTAGTGCATCAGTCTGCATTCAGATAATCACACTAACCATAGTTCATTTAATTAAACCATGGTTTCATGCAATACCTGAGCTGAGCACAAGGTTTAGAAGGATGGATTGTGAGAAGGACACAAACTCCAGTTTGCCCAAGCAGCTGTTTCCAGATGTCACAACAAACTGGAACCTGCTTTAAGTTTTCTCAGAGCAGGACGCTTTTGATCACATGGCATAGGGGAGGCTGCAGAAATATGTGTACATAAAAATAAGTGGCATTTATTCCTGTCACTCACAAATAGAGGTTTGTCCTGTCATCTGAATGAAGCTACTGTCATTTCCCTTTTTAGCATAAACAGTATTATATAAATTGTTATATAGCTATGCTCAGCCTGCCATTAACAATAAGAGTTTTGCAAATCAGCTTCAAGCCCTGGTTTCAAATTCAGGCATCAAGCCACCTATGGTTAATATTGGTCTCAATGTAGATATAACACTATGTATCATAGATGACAGTGAAAAAGGAAAGGAAGGGTAATTCCTGTAGGAGAGAACAGCATGGAAAGAGGAGTATGCCAGCTAGCTGCCTGTTCCTGATGTCATAACCATGGTTAAGAGCTTAGAAAACATTACTTCTGCACTGATTCTGTTGGCTATCCTTGCAGAATTAAGTCATGTCTTCATGTACATAAACAAAGAGACTCCAGAACAATCTGCCAGAAATAAGTCAAATCCTCTCATACAGAGACAAACAAACAGACAGTCATCTCCTCTGTGGGCAATCTGCCATGATAAAGCTTTTGATACCCCCTACTGCACTTTGATAACGGGAAGCACCTCTCCACTGGCAAATTAGAGTTTGGCATAGCCAACAAGACTGGGACCACTTTATAACATCGATATATCAATAGGCAGAGAAAACAGATTGCTAATAACAATAATACCTGAGAAAACACTGGCAAGACTTTTTGTTCAGTAATTACATTGATGCTGTACCCCATCACTTCTCCTCTTGCTTCATTATCCCGTGGCTTTTCCCAAGACACGTTGAGAGAATATGGTGAAAGAGGGAATACTGATGGAGGTGGCATGAATACAGGAGCTAAAATACAAATAAATGTGCTAATTTATCATAAAATAAATGAACAACATGTGTCAGGCAAGTTTTCCCACTATATTTGTAAAATACCATCTGTTAAACTTGATAAAATGGCTGTTTGCATCCAATTCCTAAATAAGCAGATTGTAGAAATTAATTTTCTGGTCTAAAAGGAATTTTCATATGGTTTTCAGTGCTCAGTTTTAAAGTAAATGTATCCCACCTATAGACAAAGTATGGGATCTATTATTTTTATGATGCACTAACCACCACTTAAAATCTGAAGCACAATACAGTTTTCACATAATAGCAAAGTAGATGGATTTTTAAAAGACAGTCTTCCTGGGACCTAGGAAAAACCTGATTAGAGCAAAGATTGTTGAACACTTAAACATCGTCAAAGTAAATTTAATTGCTGAGCAGGTTTGAAATTAACATCTCTCTCTTGTATTAGAATAGCTGATATAACGGGGATGTTTAATTACATGACATGTGACTTCTATCCTATCTAGGCACTGTAAAATGGCTATATTTTGAGATTTACCATTTACAAATCTGTCCGCGGAAAATCCTGCTGGATGCTTTGAAGTTAATGGCCCAATCCACAAACCAATTAAAGCAAAGTCCTTGGCTTTAAGCCATCTACTTGGATGGAAGTCCCATCTGGGAAAAATCAGAGGGGCTTATATCCAAGTGAAATATGTTTCAGATGAGTTGCCTAATTTGTTGATTTGAGTGAGACTATGAATGTGATCCTAAACACAAGTTTAATGGAATTGTGTAGGATTGGCTCCCAGGAAAGTCTGTTTGAGACAGATGTAGTCATTAGCTTAAATCTAGTTGGGTTGAATAAGCTATATCACTTTTATACAACAATGTTGGAGATTTTCTTCAGAGATTTCTTATCTGCTTAGAAGATAAAACTAATGTGACCTCATTGGCAAAAAAAAATGATGAACACATATAACACTTCCAGAAAACACAGCATTTTTATGAGATCTTTTTAAAATTATCTTTAACTGGATAGAACCAGAAGCACACAAAAACAAAATCAACATACATCATCATTATATATAATTCTCAACATGGCCCCATCTTTGAATACTCGAACTCAGAGATTGGGGCCATGGACAAGACAAGAGAACTTTTCACAAACCCAAGAAAACCCCCAGATTTGCTGAAAAATCTTAAATCTTTTTTTTAATTGGGGGTTAACCCCCCAAAAAATAATAGAAGCTGCAGCTGTAGCTTTAAGGAACAAACACCCTCAATGGCAACTGCTAGGCAATCATCGCAGTACTGCTAGCCATCAAGGCTTGTTTTTTTGTCAGTAAAGACAAGAGGAGGGGGCAGGGCCCTTTCAAGGTTTATTTTGGCCTTTGAGGGAGGATTCATTGGGGTCAGGCCCACCAGCAACCACCAGGTTCTTCAATGGCTTGCCTCTTTTCTCCAAGGTTGGGGACAGAGGGTGGCGATAGGAGAACAGCAGTCCCAGAGGCACCCACTTGAGTGTGGTGTGCCTCAGGGGGTGGTGCTTTCCTCGATGTTGTTCAACATGCGCCCCCTCACCCAGATTGCCAGGAGTTATGGGCTGGGTTGTCATCAATATGCAGATGACACCCAGCTCTATCTGATGTTGGGTGGCCGGTTGGGCTCTGACCCAGAAGATCTGAACCAGGCGCTACAGGCCGTGGCTGGGTGGCTCAGGCTGAGCCGGCTGAAACTAAACCCAGCGAAGACAGAGGTCCTGTGCCTGAGTCGACGTGGTTTGGGATTGGGGATCCCTTTCCCGACCTTCGATGGGGCGCCGTTGGTGCCAGTGCCGGAGGTTCGGAGTTTGGGAGTGCTCCTGGATCCCTCCTTAACTATGGAGGCCCAGGTGGCAGCCACTGCCAGATCTGCATTTTACCATCTTAGGCAGGCTTGGCAGCTGGTTCCCTTCCTTGACCGCGGTGACCTGGCTACAGTGATCCATGTGACGGTCACCCCAAGGCTAGACTACTATAATGCTCTCTACATGGGGCTGCCTTTGTCGCAGATCCGGAAGCTGCAGCTAGTGCAGAATGCGGCAGCCAGGCTGTTGATGGGTCTCCCCAAGTGGGAGCACATTCAGCCTGGGCTGAAAGCGCTGCACTGGCTGCCAATAGCGTACCGGATCCACTTCAAAGTGCTGGTTCTTACCTTTAAAGCCCTATATGGCCAGGGTCCAACCTACCTGAGGGACTGCCTTTCCCCACATATACCCCCAAGAGCACTTCGGTCGGGGACACAACACTGCCTGCTGATTCCAGGCCCCCAGGAGGCAAAGCTTGCTGTAACCAGGGCCCTGCAGGACCTTATGCAGTTCCGCAGGGCCGGCAAGACAGAGCTCTTCCACCAGGCTTTTATATAGGGGCCGCCACTTCTACTACTACCACCACTGAAACAACGGGGTTGGGAGCGGTCCCCGGAAGAACTGCCATAAATTTGCATGGCACTGATGCTGCTGGACTGGCTTGGACCATCGACAGGACAATTTCACCCTAAGGAAATGATCAATACTATCTTCAGAGACCATCTTGTTTATATGGAGTACTTTATTTGTTTTGTCGTGATTTAATAGTTTTTGCTGTTTTACATTGTTTTTATGTATGGGCTTGTGCCCCTGTGTAAGCCGCCCTGAGCCCATTCGCGGGGAGGGCGGGGTAAAAATGCCATAAATAAATAAATAAATAATTGTTTTCAGTCACATTGCTTTCTGTGGGACACTTGAAAAGCTGGATCAGGCTATGAGTTGCCATTCAACAGACATAGATGTTACAAAGCTCACCGTGCCACAGAAAGCAGCAATCCTCATCTTTTCCCTTATAAAACAGTTATAAACCATGTGATAGGATCTCATTTTTCCCTTCCTTCTCTGGAAACTTAATCAGCTGCTGCTTACATGGGCAGGAAAGTTAGTAAAACACCATCAAATATCATATTTTGTAATAGGGGAAAGACACAGGGCTGCCACTTTTGAAGAAGAGGAAGAGATTGCTGCTTGTGGTGACAACCATGTGTGCTCTGTAATGTTATCCTTCTGCAAGGAGACCATGCTGCTACCAAATTATTTTAAGTTAGGATAATTGCAGAACTGTCTTCTTTCATATTTTACATCAGATTCTGGTGCCCCTTCCCCCACTGATTCTTTAAGCAAAACTCATTCCACTTCAATAAATACATTAGGAGCAGGAAACCAGCCAGGGAGGCATTGGGGCCCTTGGATGACCAAGGGGTAAAAAGAGTACTGAAGAATGATAGGGAAATGGCTGAGAAGCTAAATGCATTTTTTTGCCTCTGTCTTCACTGTGGAAGATGAGAAGTGCTTGCCCACTCCAGAACCGCTGAGTTCAGGAGGGGTGTTGAAAGACCTGAGCCAGATTGAGGTGACGAGAGAGGAGGTCCTAAAACTGATAGACACCTTAAAAACTTATAAATCACCAGGCCCAGATGGCATACATCCGAGAGTTCTGAAAGAACTCAAATGTGAACTTGTGGATCTCCTGACAAAAATATGTAATCTTTCCTTAAAATCTGCCTCCATTCCTAAGAACTGGAAGGTAGCTAATGTCACTCCCATCTTTAAAAAGGGTTCCAGAGGAGATCCGGGAAATTACAGGCCAGTCAGTCTGACGTCAATACGGGGTAAATTGGTGGAAACCATTATTAAGGAAAGAATTAGTAGGCACATAGATGAACAAAACCTATTGAGGCAGACTCAGCATGGGTTCTGTAAGGGAAGATCTTGTCTCACTAACCTGTTAGTGTTCTTTGAGGGGGTGAACAAACATGTGGACAAGGGGGATCCAATAGATATTGTTTACCTTGACTTCCAGAAAGCTTTTGATAAAGTTCCTCATCAAAGGCTCCTAAGTAAGCTCAAAAATCATGGGATAAAAGGACAAGTCCTTTTATGGATCAAAAACTGGCTAATTAATAGAAAACAGAGAGTGAGTATAAATGGGCAATTTTCCCAGTGGAGGGTGGTAAGCAGTGGGGTACCGCAGGGATCAGTACTTGGTCCACTGCTTTTTAACTTGTTCATTAATGATTTGGAGTTGGGAGTAAGCAGTGAAGTGGCTAAATTTGCGGATGACACGAAGTTGTTCAGGGTGGTGAAAACCAGTGAGGATTGTGAGGCACTCCAAAGGGATCTGTCAAGGATGGGCAAGGGGGCGTCAACATGGCAAATGGGGTTCAATGTGGCCAAGTGCAAGGTGATGCACATTGGAGCCAAAAATCCTAAATATAAATACACATTGATGGGGTCTGAACTGGCAGAGACAGATCAAGAGAGAGATCTTGGAGTTGTAGTAGATAACTCACTGAAAATGTCGAGACAGTGTGTGACTGCAATAAAGAAGGCCAATGCTATGCTGGGGATTATTAGGAAGGGTATTGAAAACAGATCAGCCAATATCATAATGCCCCTATATAAATCAATGGTGAGACCTCATTTGGAATACTGTGTGCAGTTCTGGTCACCACACCTTAAAAAGGATATTATAGCTTTGGAAAAAGTGCAGAAAAGGGCAACTCGAATGATAAAAGGACAATACAAGAACTCGTGGGCACGCCATGAAACTGCTGAGCGGTCGGGTTAGAACGGATAAAAGGAAGTCCTTCTTCACCCAAAGAGTGATTCATACATGGAATTCACTGCCACAGGAGGTGGTGGAAGCTACAAGCATGGACGGCTTCAAAAGGGAATTAGATATGCATATGGAGCAGAGGTCCATCAGTGGCTATTAGCCACAAGGTATAGATAGGGGCTGTCATTGCCAGAGATACTAACTTGCAGGATCATCTCAGATAAGTGTCTGTAAGTTTAGTCAGAATCAGTACGTCTAAGACCTAAGTAAATGGGAAACAGCTGGTTAAGGCAGCAATCCCTAATTAGTCTAGGACGGGGATTGGGGAATCAAGGAATAAAATTCAGTCCTAGAGGCAGGATTCATAGATTAATGATGGAGGAATGAAGGAAGATTCATGAACTTGCCGAATACACGCATCTACGCATTCCAAGCAAGCCAGGAGACTGAGGCGACAGCTTGACGAATGCCAGGAGTGCTGCACGTGGCCTTGAAGAAGCTAAGAGCCACTGCAAGGATCTTCTTGAACTGTTCACCGTGAGGTATAGTCCGAGGGCAGGCTGCTTAGAAGACCGAAAGTGTCTGCAAGCAAGCATGCTTTGGCAGAGCGAATTCTGAAGCAAGTAGCCGAGCCAAACGAGGTGGAGTTCCAGGGAGAAAGGAACAGCAAACCATTTGTTTAGGATAGCTAGCATAGTTAGGGTTTAGGATTTGTCTATTGTCTATTTTATGTGTAAACTCCCCCTGTTTGTTTTAACCTCTTCAATTAAACCTTTATGTTTTATAAGCTGGGAGTCTGAACGAATCTCTGGGCAGTAGAAACTGTTTATGTGCCCTCCTCGCCTCTCCTAAGCTGAGCCTGATAGCCTTGGGAAACAAAGGGGACTCAGGATATCTGAGCACGCTACCTAATTAACCTTGAGTCCCTGGCATACACTGAGGTTCTGAGTTGGAGGGCCTACATAGCTCAGAAAATATAGGAGCAAGTATATGATAGGGGCTCTGGGGCAAGTGATGCTCTGTCTTCTTGGTGCTTGGGGGGGCCAACAGTGGGAGGGCTTCTAATGTCCTGGCCCCACTGGTGGACCTCCTGGTGGCACCTGGTATTTTTGGCCACTGTGTGACAGAGTGTTGGACTAGATGGGCCTTTGGCCTGATCCAACATTGGTGTCTTCTTATGTTCTTATGTATTTCCATGGATATTTCATTTGTGTGTTGCATCTTGTCCCCCACATACCTATTCCTCTTGTACCTGCCAAGCATGGACAGTGTGTGTGTGTGTGTGTGTGAGGTTTGTTATTGCTGTTCTGTTTTTTTACAATGCACAAGGGAGGTATACAACTATCCTCCCCCTTTATCTCAGCTCAGTCCATTGCTTGAGGCACCTACCTCTATTCCAAGCCTGTTGCTGGTGTTGGGTCTAGCATGGGAGAAAAGAGTCTGGAGTGACCACCTATATGGAGGTAAGGCATTGGATAGAGATGGGGAAGATTCACCACAGCTTTCCATTGTACTCTTTTTAGCATTAAAGTGAACTCCAGCTTTGAATGATTGCCCCCTCCCACCTTGTTTGGCATTATATTGCAGCTGTAACTTTTTAAAGAGTTGCTATTGAATTAGAATGAATTGTATTAATTAATTGAATTATGACTAGAAAGAAAATGAATTCTCTATACTGCAACAGTAAAAAATAAGAAAAAATAAGGAGCAAGTGTTACACACATTTTCCAAGATAAAAACCTAACTTTTGAAAATGACTTTACAAGACCTATTACCTGCCTCTGCAGTCCTCTGTGATGTCCATCTTGAAAATGTGCTACCTGCCATATTGACTGACAGAACACGGAACTCGTACTCTGTGAATGGCTCCAAACCTGTAATTTTGGTGTTAGTTGGAGGTGGTGTCAAAGCATTCTCATTGGCAGATTCTGTCACTGGATGAAGACTGTACCATCCACTGGCTTGGAAAACACGACTGTCAGGGGGCACAAAGCTACCATTTGATTGTAGTACTCCTTTCATGTACAGTTCATACCTAGTAATTATACCTAAAAACAACAATGACTGGTTAACCGAAGGAATATATTACTCTGAATGTATCTGAAATCCTACTACTCCACTAATACAAGAAACCATGCCCAGTGATGGTACTATGTAAGTGTACTTGGTCACCCTGGGAGATGATTTGCATCAGGAGATGGATAAAGGGAGTACAACTCTGTCGATCCTCCTCTCATCAACTTTCGATACCATCAATCACGGTAACCTTCTGGACTGCTTCTCTGGACTGGGATCGAAAGGCATCATTCTGCGGCAGTTCTAGACCTACCTGGAGAGTAGGTTTTAGAAGGTGGTGCTGGGGGACTGCTGTTCAGCCCCTTGGACTTTGGGGCCCCACAAGGCTCCATTTGTCCTGCATTTCCTTAAACATCTAAATGAAACCACTGGGAGAGGTCAATTGGAGATTTGGGATGACACTCAGCTCTATCTTACACTTCCAGCTGATCCTAGGGAGGCTGTAAAAACCCTGAACCAGTGCTTGGAGGCAGTTTTGGGGAGGATGTATACTAATAAACTGAACTTTAATCCTGACAAGATGGAACTGCTACTGGTGGGTACAAGGTCGGACACAGAATTTAAGGTGTCACCCATTCTGGATGGGGTTGCACTTCCCTAGGTCCTTAGTCTGGGGGCGCTCTTGGACCCAGACCTACTGCTGGATAAGCAGGTGGAAGCTGTGGCCAAGAATGCCTTTTAGCAGTTTTGACTGGTTAGCCAGCTGCAGCCTTTCCTGGAAAGAAAAGATCTGGCCACAGTGGTACATGCCTGGATACATCCAGATTACTGCAATGCACTCTACATGGGGCTGTCCTTGAAAAGTGTTTGGAAACTTCAACTGGTACAGAACACTGCAGCCAGGTTGTTGAATAGAGTGCATCATAGGAGTGGGTCACAGGGATCATATCACTCTCATCTGGACCCATCTACAGTGGTTCCAATTGGTTTCTGGGCAAAATTCAAGGTGCTGGTTTTGACCTTCAAAACCGTATGTGGTTGGGGACCAATATACCTAAAGGACCATCTGATCCCTTATGAACATGTCCGACCCCCTCCTCCCTCCAAACCTCAATGCTAGATATGCCATCTTGTACTTAAACTGTTTTTAAATATTCATGTTTGAATGTTAATATTGAATTTTTATAGTTCTAATTGGTTTTATAATGTAATTGGTATTAAAATGTATTGAATTTCTGTTGTAAACTGCCCTGAGCCCTGCATAAGAGGGGAGGGGCAGTCAAGAAATCAAATGAAATAATAAACAAACAAACAAACCATTACGGGTCATCTTCAGAGGTCCTGTTTCAAGTGCCTCCCAGCTTATGATATCAGGCAGATGGCAACCCAGGAAGAGACCTTCTAGGTCATGGCACCAAAACCCTGGAACTCTCTCCCCGGGAAGATTCATCTGTCCCCTTCTGCTGCTATTTTCCACAAGCGGATAAAAACTTTTTTATTTCAGTTGGCATTCCCTCAATGATCCTTCCTTCCTAACCAATGTTTTTATGTTTGTATGCATTTTAACTGTTTTCTATGTATTTTAAAAATTGTTTTAATATGTATTATAATGGCTTTATAATGTAATTTTATCATGTATATTTTGTGATGGACCTGGTGTCATCCATAGCGGCTAGGACTCTCCCAATATGTAACAGCCCCCACTCACCGGGCTGGGCATACACTTGATCTTCACAGCGGGGGTCACAGTGGACCAGATTACTGCTATGGCAGTGCCATGGTCGGACCACCATGCCCTGAAGGTCCGAGTGAATGCTTCACCCCAACCCTGTTTGGGTGGCGGGCATATTTTAACTCGCTCGTGGAGCCAAATGGACCCTATGCAGCTTCAGATGGCATTGTGGGATCCGATGGCCCCAGTGGCTAGTTGGATGAGCTTGTTGAGGATTGGCATAGCTGACTCTTAGCAGCCATTGATGAGATTGCTCCCTGATGCCATCTGCACCATCACTCTAGGCTGGCTCCCTGGCTTACCCAGGGGCTGAGGCTGCTTAGATGACTAGAGATACAGTGGTGGCATGCCCATGATGAAACTACAAGAGCATCCTATAGGACATTTATAACATCCTATGAGATGGCAGTCAAAGCCAGTTAGAGAGTGTAGTATGCGGTCACAATTGCATCTACAAGCTCAGACCCAGCCCAATTATTTAGAATGATTCAGTCCACGACTACTCTGCCACAAGGCAGACCAAATTCTAGGGAATTGGACATTGGCTGTGAGGCCTTTGCGAGCTATTTTGCAGATAAAGTCTTGTCACTCCACCATGACCTCCCTGCCACAGTTGAGACAGTGAGTGAACTCAAGGCTCCATGCATGTCTTCTAGTCAGGTTTTGGATTATTTCATTCCACTCATCCTAGAGGAAGTTGACAAATTACTTTCTGTACGCCCTACCATCTGCAGTCTTGACTTGTGCCCATCGTGGCTAATTAAAGCTGGTCATGATGGGCTTCGAAGTGCCTAAAGGGAGTCTGTTCCTTCGGGCACTTAAGGAAGTGGTGGTACGCCCCCTCCTAAAAAAAAATCTCTGGATCTGGCTGAATTGGCTAATTATTGGCCGGTTTCCAATTTGCATTATCTGGGCAAACTAACTGAGAGGGCGGTGGCAACTCAGTTGCAGAGTTTTATGGATGACACTTCCACATTAGATCCAGTCCGGCTTCTGCCCAGGCCATGAGACAGTGACAGCACTGGTTGCCCTCACAGACAACCTCTGGATGCATCTGGATCAGGGCAGTTCGGCGGTGCTGCTGTTGCTAGACCTGTCAGGAGCATTCGACATGGTTGATCATCAGCTACTGATCCACCACCTCACTGACACTGGGGCCCAGGGGTCCACCTTGCAATGGCTTTCCTTTTTCATTCAGGGTTGGGGACAAAGGGTGGCACTAGGGGAGCAGCTGTCCCGAAGGCACCTGCTGATTTGAGGAGTGCCCCAAGGGGCGGTACTTTCCCTGATGCTATTTAACATATATATATGCACCCCTTGTCCAGATTGCCTGGAGGCATGGGCTGGGTTGTCACCAGAATGCAGATGACACCCAGCTCTATCTGATGTTGGGCAGCCAGTCTGACTCTAGACAAGAAGATCTAGACCTGGCAGTACAAGCTATGGCTGGTTGGCTTAGACTGAGCCAACTGAAATTGAATCTGATGAAGACAGGTCCTGAGCCTAAGCCAAGGCAGCCCGGGGTTAGGGATCCCACTCCCAACCTTTGACGGGGTGCCATTGGTGCCAGCACTGGCAGTTAGGAGCTCGGGGATGCTCTTGGATGCCTCCCTAACTATGGAAGCCCAAGTAGCAGCCACTGCTAAGTCAGCCTGCACTAAAAGCACTGCCCTGGCTGCCTATAGCATACTGAATTTGCTTCTAGGTGCTGGTTCTTACCTTTAAAGCACTTTATGCTCAGGGATCTACATGTTCCCCAGAGAGCACTGTGTTCAGGGTCTCAAAATTGTCTGGCTCTCCTGGGTCCCAAAGATGCCAGGCTGGCTATGACCAGGGCCAGAGGCTTTTCGGTGGTGGCTCCACACTGGTGGAACAAACTCCCAGAGGATATTAGGGCCCTGTGGAATCTGCTACAGTTCCATGGGGCCTGCAATACAGAGCTTTTTCACCAGGCATTCGACCAAGGAGCTGCGCCATAGGGTATCACCATCAGCTGCCTGGGCTTCACCAGCATGAATGGACCAAGAAGATAGTCCTACTGCCATTGCTGATTGTACTCCATCAGGATTGATCTGCTACTAAGATTATGTTTCGCCATCATCATACAACCTTGATACTAGCACTTTATGGCTGCGGTCACACGTAACAGAAGCCACACAAGTGAGACAGAAAACAGCCGGAGTTTCCGGGCGCGATCTCACCAGCACATCTGGGAAGCGTAGCACTCCCGTGGCTCAACCGAGGCTTCCAGCCGAAACTGCGTGGCAAAAAACTAGTACCTTGGAGGTACTAGTTTCCGGAAACTGCGGGGCAAGGGCGGGCGTCTGATCGCGTTTCCGGTGGCATCCGGCGCCAGCCCATGTCCCCTTGCAAATAAGGTGTTTTTGTTTTGTCCATGTCTCTGTGGATGCGCATGTGCACCCAACGGAGCATGCGCATTTGTCATGTACACAAAAATAAAAAACAGTTTGCCGCGGCGCGCGCTTCTTCGTTGCGCGCCGGCTTGTCCTGTGATCGGCACCTCTCCCTTGCCATGGAACCTCCATGGAACCTCCACAGTACCTCCACAGGAGGTCTGATCACGTAACTGCGCAGTAGTTTGCCCCAGGGCAAACAGCCACGCTTCTCCTCTGCAGTTTCCTGCCCGTGTGACCGGGGCCTATGATTGTTTTAAATGCTTTGTTTTTAGCTGTTTTAATTTTTATGAAAGCTGCCCTGAGCCTTCCTTGGTGAGAAGGGCGGGGAATAAATCAAATAAATAAATACATAGTTAGCTGCCTTGGTGACCCTTGTAATGGCAGAACGGCAGAATGTAAATTTTGTAAATAAATATGAATAATAATAAATAAAAATGTATGCATGTGCTATCAAATCAGAACCAACTTATGGCAACCCTAGCACAGGTCTTTCAACGCAAGTGAGAAGCAGAGGTGGTTTGCCATTGCCTTCCTCTGAAGCCTCCTTGGTGGTATCGCCTCCAAGCACCAACCCTGATTAGCTTTCAATATCTGATGAGATTGGGCTGTACCATGCCACCTTCCCACTATGTAAATACAAGTACACACCTCCCCCATGCTTCAGCTGGGCTCTGTGAGAGGAGATAAGCATTATGCCCAATGCAGTAATCTTTTCTTCCTCTTCAGCAATTCCTTTCCTTTCCAGTACCCAACATTATCTGGTTCTCTGTGCTGAAAGCAATGGATGGCATGTTGTGAAGAAACACACTCTAAAAAGCCAGCTCTAGAGTGGGATTACTTTGTGCTAATGCTGATCTCTTCCCACACATTCAGCTGTGTCTACATTATAGGGTTGCCACGTCCCTACCTGCTGCCAGTGGGCAGACAAAGCCTCTTAGTCGGAATCTTCTGGTGTACGCATAGTGCATGTGTCACAATGACATCACCCGGAAGTGATGTCATCACGCTAGGCACATTGCTAGGGGGACTCTCTAGCATTTGGCCAAAAACTGTATGGTACCAGGCTAAGTGCTAGAGCGTCCCCCCGCCAATGTGCCCTGCACGATCCTGGCACTTTGGGGGCAGGGTTCCCCCACCGGCCAGATCCAGGCTGGTGGACTGGGGGGCCCTAAAGTGGGCAAACCCCCCCCCGGGGGGGAAATAGCAAGCCTACTACATTACTGTGTTCAGTAATAATAGTGTGAATCTATACAAAAGCCCACAAAGCATTTCAGGTTTTCAGACAAAATCTTACAGACTTCAAATCCTACCATTTGGTTTCTTGGGTGGAGACCATTCTACAAATAATTCTGTAGAACTGGTGCTTTCTATGACTGGAGGTAGTTGGTCCTCTGGAGCGGCCTGTGCAGTAATTATTGCCACTGGCTGGCTCAGCAAACATCCCCCACTTGTACAGGCTTGAACATGGAAATTGTATTTTGTAAATGGATCCAAATTTGAAACAGTTGCAGAGGTTTCTAAGCCTTCATACTGACCACAAGGTCGAAGATCTATTGAAACACATGTCAAGATATATTTCTCTATAGGACCAGAGTCATTTGATAAGGCTGTCCAGTTGAACGAAACAGAGTACGGCCCAACAGGAGGGACTAAGCTTAAACACAAGTTTCCCACAGGTATTCCAGGCTCTGTCCTGTAAGTCAAAGCTGCACTTCTTGTAGATCCGTGGACATTGCTGGTCTCGAGGTAATATAAATAAAATTAGGGAAACAAAGTGCTCTCAGTGAAGACTTGCGTGCCTGTAATGGATGCATAAAAAGTTAGAACCCAATTGTCAAATACTGAGAAACTCCATATTTAAAATTCTTATTTCTCCTAAATTCATTTTCAAAAACTGTGATACCCTGTATTTCAAAAGATGAATTGCATGTTATATACTACACTAGATCAGTAATTTGGAGTAGTTGAAAAGTCTTTATTGTAAAACTGAGAAATATTTTACCATCAGCCATCCCCATGTGCAACGGCACATAAGCATTAGTGGAACTACAGAATATAAAAGGTGCAGATCCAGGTTTTTCAGTTCCATGAGTTCTACTGATCTAAGTTTCCTTCTAGATACGAGGAAAAAATGGCTTTTTAAAAATCATAGATCTATCGGTCTCATTTGTGTCTGCTGGTGGCTCAAATTTATGTTAACAGAAGGGACAGAACAGATCTGAGTTTTCAGATAAGACATTAAACATTCTATGTAAAAGTCCAGGGATGTTCTTCTGCAGACTCCTACTGAAATCAATGGGAATTGCAAAGAGCTCGGAATGGCATAGATGGTTTTCCCCACCACAACATTCTGTGGTGCAGGGTGGTTCAGATTATGAGCTTCATGTGGGGATTTGGACCAGGTTTTCCTGGTCATAGTTCAAGACTCTTACAGCTACTCTCTACTGGCTGTTCAAAAATTATTTTTATCTAGATATCTTCACAAATGTTCATTGTCTGAAATGAAACCAATCCAATGTTCCTTTATTTCCAGATTTTATACAGAATGTAGTTCCTTCAGATCATTTACATCTTTTCCCTCCTGTTCCGGGTTATTAATGTGTACTTATACATGGATAAAACACTACCAAAAAACACAACCATGATGAGCTTGTATGCCATTTTTTACTGTGCAGTGTTTTAACATGGACAGTCTTAGTGATTTGGGGGCTCTGGGCAAAAGTCAAGGATGGGGTACTCACATCCCTTTTATTAACTAT